TTTTTCAAAGAGGAGAAAAATAAAAAATTCAGATAAGCTACAGTACAAATAACACAAATCTAAACTGAGGTATAAAAAATTGTACTTCTCTATCATTAATAGAAGTTACCTGCCTTTAACTATATAATGTTGTTGTTTTTGGTCATAAATATTAATTCTAATTTCTTGATATTCAGTGTTTCACATTAATCTGTCTGCCTTTTTTCTTGCTGTCTGATGTCAAAATACTGACACATTTCTTTCTGTATCCGTTCTCCCCATATCTTCCTCTAAATAATGCCTTTCCTTACAGATTAATCTTAGCTTTGTCTTGCTGTTCTGTTGCAAACTCTCTGATCATGCACATAAACAAAAACCCTCTCCTGCGATCAGATCTCTGCAGAGCTGTGTGCCTCTGTGAACCTACGTGGGCTGGCTGGCTTATATAACTCAGCTGACTTCAGTTGAGGTGAACACGCCAGCTGCAGTCAATGCGTGTGTGTGACGGCGTGAAAAAGCCTTATCAGTTTGCGCTGATGGCTCTCGATGTCTCTCCAAATGACTGGACTGTTACATGTGTTTATCAGTACATGTTTATCCGCTGATGTTCCTTCTGGACTCCCAGACACACAGCTGATGCCTGCTGTGTACAGGGTGAGATAGTATTTCTGTAAATGTCTGTGTCTAAGCTAACTAGAGCCATGGTTTGCCACTATCTCACCGTCAGCAGAGATCAATAGTCAAGCTAATTGCAAAGTAGGGCAAACAATAATTTTAAGAGAAGCTAAACACTGTATTGTTGTCTTTATTCAATTAAGACATAAAGATATAGCCTCTTTATTATTATGATTATAATTATATGTTACGATTTTTATATAATAATTTTATTTCCACTCTTAATGGGTCCTGTTGCATCTGAATGTCATGGTGAATGATGACACTCGGGGCAGTCCGACCTAACCAGCCATTTCTGTCCTGAGGCTGCAGTTGTTTAATGACGGCAACTTTTAATACATTTCCTGTCAACCAGTAAACTCAATCCGTCTCTCTCTTTGTTAGGCAATTTATTATTTCCTCGCTTTCAATGTAGCAGCCATCGAGGCTGTTCTGCAAACCACAATTTCTTTCTCACTTTTTTTATTCATTGCCAGCGTAAATCATAATAATCTCTTTCCAATCAGATAAATCATCACAGTCAGAGTAATTAAAATGAAAAAAGAGCCACAACAGCAGCTTAGTCTGGAAAATAAGAGCCTAATTAATGAAGCCACTGCACACAGGCAGAAATATTGCTTTTATAGCTTAATAGAGCTAACAAAAGAGGAAGTGTCCCTTTTCAATTGGTTTAAATTGGATGTTCTTTGATTAAAATTTTTGGATATTCCTTTTTTTCGCACTGTATTTTCAATAAAATGAAGAACTCTGCTCTCATCTGTGAACTTTTCCATGTATTTTTTTCTTCAGGGTCAAATAATGTAGCATAAAGCTGTAAGTTTATCATCATCAAGCAATTTGTGTTGCTTTCTAATATTTTCTTCACCTCAACTTTTCTCATTAAATAACTGTCGCCGCTGATACAGCGTGCTGAATATAGAATGATTTATGATTTGGAGTTGTTTGTTAGGAGATGTGACCTCCTTGGATTAGACTCACTTTTTCATAATAGCCTCAGCAGTAGCTCATAATTCATGCATTAAGGGTTTATGAGCTCTGCTGCTGAATAACAAGACACAGCTCTAATAGAAAATTATTTTCTTTTTTTAACTTTTTCTATTTAGTAAAATATCCTAATCTTTACATGTTTCCTTTATTGAGATAACAATACTGTAGATGACAGAGTGCAAAGGCTTTAAAGCACTTTAGCTTCTTACTGTCTTGTGAATATTCATGGTGCATTGTATCTATGCTACTCATAAAGTAGCTGGATGGTGAAACCAAACTAACAGAGTATTTCAACAAATAAAAATTGTATTATATTATGAAATTAATCCGTTAATATTCTTTAAACTTTACTTTTATGCTTCATTATTTGCTATGGCACATCGTTGTGCCTGCAATTAACCCTCCCCCTCCACTATATATTAGGTGTATAGGCACATTATAGAGACTGAAAGCTGTCAATTAAATACAATGAAAGACAAATATTCAAAATGACTCTTCCCAGTCAAATGCCAGCCCATATCCCTGCAACTCCCAGCAAAACCCTCTTCAACTTACACCTCCTTTTCCTGGGCGTGCATATTTCTTTACTCTGACTCCATCCTTTCACTGAATTACAAGGTCTGACTAAGAGAAGACGCTTCTCTTTAGATCTTAATGTCCACAAATCATGACAGAAAGAATATTTCAATACAAACATTAATGTTTAAAAAGGAATTGTAGGGGACCAGCCAAGGACCCTTCAAGGCAAGTGGGGAAATTTTGAATGGCTACTACTGTATCAGTTACTATTACAAGGAGTTGATCCAGCATTCCTAATGCAAAGGCTTCCTGATCATATGAAAACATTATGAAAACAGCATAACTGTAATTGCACTTCAGAACTTCTTCATATAGCAAACCCTAGTTGACTTTTAGATGTGATTTAGGTTTTTTCCTCCTGTTAGAAAAGCTAATGGTTTCCAAACTTCAGCTTTCTCTTTTTTACCCGACTGCATGGCATTTCCTCAGATTCCTTTGCATCGCTATAAGCATAATGATCTGTTTACTCTATATACGATGTAACAAAAAAAATTATTCTGAAAGAAACAAAACAAAAAAAAATAGATATAAAAAAAATGGATTCCTCAATTAAACCAGCCAAAGAAAAGTAATCCACAGTAACTTAAGGGAGCTGAGAAAAAGATTCTAATCTAAACATGGACAACAGCAGAGTTTAAAATAATCCACTAATCCTCCCCTCAGACCTCGAGGATGTGATGGTAATTTTTAATTCGCTGTTACTCACTGTGAACTCTCGCAGGTTCTCGCATTTGTGTGAGAGTTCCCCGGGCGGGTGGCCTCTCCTGCACAGCTTGTTGTGGAGCCACATTAGCAGGTACCAGAAGGACTTAGGGCTGGGAATGATGTTGAAGGGAGGAGGCAGCGTGCCGCCCTCGTCAAAGTAACTCATCCACAGCTTGGTGCGGGCAAACTTCCACTCAATGTCGGCGTGGTCCTGGAGGAGAGGAAGAAAGCTCTTAGATCTGAGAGATCTCAAATTATTTTCTGTTTCTTTTCAGGATACAGAGAACCAGACAGGGAATGAATGATTAAGGATTTAGACACCATCCTATTGAGTAAAACTGTTTGCCTTAGTTTATAATACTTGTATTTAGAAATGATACAGAAAAAGACTTTAAACAGTACAATTTGTTGGACACTTTTAAAATCGAATGTACAGATATCTTTCAGAGGTTCTGAAAATTCTGAAATGCAAAAGATTTTTATTCTATTAACAGAAACTCAGCTTATAAAATATGGGGCACCACAGGAACTTCAGGTTAAGACCTTTCTCAATTTTTGACAGGAGGCGCACAAACATGACATTTTCCTATTAAAAAAAACTACAAATATTTGCTGTAAATCGATTTTTTAATTTCTAACTCACAGCGATGAGTTGGTAGGAGTTGTTCATCATGGCGATGAGCATGTTTAACAGAACCACCAGTGAGATGACGTTGTATGTCCCGAACATCGTCGCCCCGACGAATTCTGTGAACTCATGGCGAGCTTTCACGTTGGTGACGTACAGGTTGAGCAGACCAAATATGGACCAGAAGAGGGACTGGAGAGTCTCAAACAACCTGGAGGTACACACAATTATTGTACAACTGTGAATGTGTTTATCTTTACATAAAAAGGAGTCATTTTCAACTTTAAACATTTATACGTATTGATAAGAGAGGAAATAAAGCTTGAAAAATGTTGTTTTTACATATTACATTCTCCTGTCCAAATAGTTAAAACATTAATTCTCCTACTTACTCATATTTCCAAGATTCTAGAAACACTACAGAGATCACAAACATTATACATATTACTTTTTTTTGTTTTTTGAAACAGTCCAAGTTTTCCTCACCGTATACAATAATATTCAAAATGACAATAAGACTGTTCCGCTGGTGCAGCCCTCAGTCTGTTTTGTAGGATCATGTTCTGCTAGGCATACTATGAAAAATTATTTAGCTGGATTCTTTTCAACAGATGATAAAACAAGAAGCAAATCATTTCCCGACACCAAGAGTTTACAGCCACATTGGGGACAGCAACCCCTGCACATAATGAGGCTGCTTTACTTGCTGAAAAACAAAGTACTGCAAAATGCACAGTAAAACACAACATTCAGTTTAATAAAATAGTTCAAGTATGTCAAATTAAATTCTTATCAACTGGTTGTTTATACTCACTTAAAGAAGCATTGTGAACTATTGCATAAAAAAATACATAATAACTCTACATATTTGGAAAAAAGTAAAGTATTTTTGGGTGGTGGAGCCTTGTGCAAATCATTGTAACCTTATTGTGTGACTTTTTAGCAATAGGTGTGGGCATACAACACCATGAGAGAGGTTGCTGCTATAAATAATGGGATTTATTGAAGTGAATATCTGCAATCATCTTTTTTACTTGATAAGTACATAGCCATTGTTTTACTCATGCTTAGGGCTCAGGTATTATGAGTTATGGAAGTTGTAAAATAAAAAAGATAATGGTATATCTTTCATATTGAATGACACAAGAGCATATTATTTAAGCTTGAGATACCTGAAGGATATTTCGGGATACAAACAGGAAGCTTCCCATTAAAATGATGGTTTACTTATTTTTCAACTGTACCAAACTTGGTTATATTAATTTCATTAAAATAAGCTCATACAACAAAGTCTTGAGCACACTACAGAGGTTAATCTTGAGTAAACAAAACATAAAACTTAAAAAAAATTGAAGGCAATGGATTTCCAAGATTCTTGCAGTTAACAGATTTAAGAGTGTGGGGCCACACAGGTTATTTTTTAATAACCAGAGACACGCTGAAAATGAGAAGGAGGAAAAGGTTTGTGATGTGCAAAAGGGGATACATAAAAAAAAAAAGAGGAACATTTTTATAACACTTCATGAAGTACGGAAAGTCAACGTCACTTAACTGTGAAATATACAGTTATATGAATAAATAAAAGACTTTAAAATAGTTTTTCTTAAACTTTTATGGAGCATTCCTGATGACAGATCAGGTCCAAGTATTGAGGTATACATATATATATATATATTGTTTTTATTAAATGACAAATGGCCTGTACTAATAAAGCCTTTTTTAAGTCAGACGACTTGACCAAAGCTCATTTACAGTCTTAAAGCTGTACAAAATAAAACTTCATTTTGTATACACTATATGTGTAAAAAATGACAATAGAAGTTCTCTAAGTCTCTCTAAGTCAAAGTGCTTTACACTTCATTCATTCATTCAGTCATTCACCCACACATTCACACTGATGATGGCAGCTACGTTGTGACCAAAGCTGCTCCGTGGCTCACTGACAGAACCCTAACACTCATTAACCTTAACCTCAACACCTAGGTCCACCCAGAACTAAAACCAAACATGGGGAAGCAACATTTAGTTCCTATGCTCCATTCATCTGGAAGAAACTTCCAGAACACTGAAAAATTGCTGATAGCCTGAGTTCTTTTAAGTCAAAAACCTATTTGTTTAGAGCTAGCTTTGACTTTCAACTGTTAACTGAGGTATTTTTAGTTTAAGTTTGTGCTCTAATTGTTTTATTTTGTGTTTCTACCAGCTCCTAGTTTATATCTTTATCTCAAGTTTATATCTTTACTTCCTTTTAGTCTGCTTTTAGTTCTCTTCCATTTTATGGTTTTATTGTTTATCAGGTAAAGCACTTTAAATTGTCTTTGTACTGAATTGTGTTATTTAAATAAACGTGCCTTGCCTTGAAGTGCTGCTCTGAAATGCGGAGTCAGAAAATGTCCGACTGTAAATAATTAGAATAAGTCCTGCTGCAGATCATGTAATTCTTTTACTTAATTTCTTTCAATTATTTCACTTGGTTTGAAAGATTTTTCCTTATTTAGTTGTTAATGCACTGAGCTGGTCCACCTTGTATGCATCAATGTTTTTCTTTATTTTATCAATCCTTGTTCATGTTGCTGTATCTATTATCCACCTTTAACCAGTGTTTGTTGTCACCCAAGGAACATTGAACTTCAGTTTAAAAGGCTTGAACTTTTTTTTTTTTTTTTCAAAATTGATAATGAAAGAATCTGAACATTCTTGACAATCTTGAATCTTGTTGTAAATATTTAATGTGTAATACTTCCTTCCCCGTTAAACCAATGCCTTAAGGGGACCACGCTTAGAGAAAGATGGACGACTCAAGAGGACATTTTGGATGTGCTTTTATTAAATTTTTACAAAGTAGAACATTTTCTAATCTTAACTTTGTGTGGCAGTTCCATATTTCACTCCTGGCTTCAGGTCTGTATTCATTTTTCCTCCTGCCACTGCCTGCAATGTGAAATCTCCCTTTCCATCTTTAGGATCATTTTATCTCCCCTCCTCGCTTCTCTCTGTCCTCTGTTTGCCTTCCCGTGTCTCTTTTTTGCAACCGTCACCGTTACAGCAGTGGTTGTTGAATTTTTGATGAAGCAACAATTGGCAGCGCTCGACACTACATCAAGAGAGCGACACAGACGGGCGGTCTGAAGGCTTCTATATTTATACTACATAAAAAATTCAGGGATGCAGTGTTTATTTTCTTTTTATTCAGGTGTGTGGTAGGACTGTTGTGTTGGAGGAACGTTTGATCAATCGGTGAACAGACTGTTTTTCCTTGTGAAACATTATTTGAGCGATGGTGCAACAGTGTGTGAGGAGGTAAAATTTGTCTCAGCGAGTGGTAGCATAAGTCAGAGTGGGGAGAGAATCAGTGCTGTGCAAGTGAGGAGAGAAACGAGGGGAGAAAGAGAATTAAGTCAACGCCGAATGAAGCAGCAGAGCGTGATATTGTGCCGGTTATGAAACGAGGATGATGGGAAGACACAACACGAAGGAGAAAAGAATGAACAATAAAGAAGAAGAACAACGGATAAAACTCTTTTCTACTTTTTTCTTTTATGTTATTTATTTTAAATACCCTGTTTTAACACCTTGGTTACCTTTAATGGACAGCCTAATATTTATAGTGCCTGCTTCTTTATTGGCTCCCTGTTACAGACTTATACATACCTTTAATAAACTCTGTGTTTATAGCAGCAGCATAATCTCACACTGAAAATTTTACTAGAATCAAGCCCTTATTCAGTGTGATGAACAATAACGTTGAGAAATAATAATAAACAGAGAGAAGAATGCTTTAGTGTTCCTCTCCATGTATTATCCAGATCAGAAGTGGGCATTTCCAGTACTAAAGTGGGTGGTTTTCTAAAACTTTTATGGCTGTGTTCGATTTCTGTGGCTACGTCCTCAGAAAGACCCAGTCTACCTAGACTGAGTCCTTCGAGGGCCGTGAAAATAAGGAGGCTGGAATAGTGTCTTAATGTCTGTCCAAACCCCTAAATCTCTTAATCACTATATAGAGCAGGGACTATATAGTGGAATTTATAGTGAACTCACTTAACTGACCATTCGGACAGATGATCACAACTTTTGGCTCCCTGATGGTTACGTAACTCCGCCTCACCGCACAGTGCCTGAATCATCACTTCTATTAGTGGCTGCTCACACTTCCTGCTAGCCAGTCGCTGTCACAACAAGGAGAGCAAAGCAATCTGGGATATATCTGCTCCTCTAGTGGCCATGGATGAGCACTACTTTTCAAGAAACATTGTGGGAAATTTTGAGTCCACTACTCTTTCATCCACTAGACATTCGGACACTCATTCAAAATGGCGTAAACCACTATATAGTGCCCTATATAGTGATTAAAATAGTTTAACTACCAACTCAGTATAAGCCAGAGTCCTAATTATCTAAATACTTGATTCAGGTGTGTTAGACCAAGGAAACCTCTAAAAGTTGCAGGATACTTTAATTGACCACTCCTGCTCTAGATCATTCAGTTTCCTGGATCCTCTCTGATTATCTCTTCAGCTCAGTTCATTCCACAGGATTTCTATATAATTAAACTCCGTGAGCTATGGAATGCAAAAGCGCTTAAAATTAAATATATGAATAAATAGTGACTGAAATACAACATAAATTAATAATACATAGACATTACAACACTGAAATTTTAAAATAACTAAATCCAAATAAAATTCCCAACTCATAATAATGAGACAAATTACATTAAAATAAAAAACAACAACATTTGATTTACATTTTTTTCTAAAAACCACAGTTATTTCTGGCAATTGTTTTACTCCAGCAGTTTAAATTTAATCTTCCATCTCTCCGGGATCTGTACACCTCCAGGACACTGAGGCATGCAGGGAAGATTGTGGCTGATCCCTCGCACCCAAGCCACAAACTATTTCAGACACTTCCCTCTGGCAGGAAGCTGCGGTCCATCAGGACCAAAACCTAACGCCACAAGAACAGTTTCTTGCCATCCGCTACCAGCCTTATCAACAAGGCCCAGAGACCCCCTTGACACTGACACTGCCTCTCTCCCCTCCCCCATTCAGGTCCTACAAGCTACATCAACCTTCGGCGTTAGATTCTGTATACAGTAGTAGCCATTCAAAATTTCCCCACTTTCCTTGATGAGCCCTTGGCTGGTCCCCTACAATTCCGTTTTAAACATCAATCTTTGTACTAAAATATTCTTTCGGTCATGATTTGTTG